GAGCGCCCGTGCGCCAGCGGAGGTGGGCATCGCCGCCGCCGGCCGCGCATCCCCTCCTCCCGAGCAAGCAGCGAGCCGGGGCAGAGTTGGGGCGCCCGTGCGGGTGCGTGCGCGCTCCCCAGCTAACCCGTTCCCTTGCTTGTCTGTGCTTTGCCACGGGAGAGCGCGCTTTGCGGGCACGTGGAGGCCCCAGCGTCAAGGAGGAACGCTGGGCCGTTTCTCTGCAGCTCTTCCCATGTGCGGGGTTAGCTCCTGAGTCACTGCTGTGCGGTGCTTTGTTTTCTCTTTGGAACTGCAGAAGAGGGTGAGCTTTTACCAAAAACGCGGGTATCGCTTGCGGTGACAGCCCCACGCCTTGCGAGGTGCTTCCGTCTGCTCTTCTGAACCTGTCCCTGTGATGAGGGCAGGGCCTTGTTTTCATTTTGTTTGCCAGCATGCTACAGGCAGCTGGCCTGGCTAATACATGGATTTCTTCTTTTTTGCATATGTATGTGTGAATGTTTGTGGCAGACAGGGCAGACGGAGGGAAGAAAAACCATTAAAAAACCTCAAGAGGAATTTTATATATAGGTAAGGCTGGGCAGAAAGTAGCTAGGTGTGCTGTCAGCTGCTAGAAGCCTTAGTTTTAAAGCAGGGTGTTGTCATAGGTGCTATGCAGACTTGGAACAAAAAGTCAGTCGCGGCTCTAAGGAGTTCAGAGGCTGCAAATCCAGGCAGAAGAGCTGAGGTGATCAAGATGCTGCAGCTCTGAGTTAACCGTCTCTCAGCTGAGCGCTTTTGCCACCTGCGCGTGGCACGGGTGGTCGCTTACAACCGTTAACTTTGCGCTTGAGCAACAACCTCATGATGTCGTCCAAGGTCACCAAGGTCAAGTGAACCGGTGGACACCCTGCCTCCCTCTGCCTGCTTCTGTGGGCTCTGCTAAGCCGTGGACGCAAGTGGGGAGAACATGGTCACGTGTGTAGGTGCTGTGCAGGAGCCTCCACAGTGGGACAGGTCTGCCTCTTGAAGCTAGTCAGTCAGCGACACTCATCTGTCTCCGCTGTCTCCAAATCAGAGGCAGATACAATGGACACTTGGAGAGAAGAGGCGGAAACTTAACTTTCTGATCAGGTACTCTGTGGACTTCTGTTGCCTTCAGCAATCGGCCAAAATGCCTTTTAGGCCGAATTTCCAGGTGACGCAAAAGAGTGTAATTGCACAGGCTGCACAGCTGCAAATGCTGACCCCGGCACAAAGAAGGAGCAAGCTTGTTGGTTACCACAGCCCTCAAAAGTTATTTTACTTTCAGGTGTTTTGAGTATTTTGTATTTGGAGTGATCTGAAGGGGACGGACTGTGACTGTGCGCTGCAGCATGTGTGCTTTAGATAGTCAGATTGCCTTCAAAATAAACCCATTTCCTGAGCAGGGGAACGACTGGGTGGTTAGGCCTTCATTTATCCTGGTTTGTTGGGATGTGTAAAGTTTTGAGCGTCGCTGCTCGTAGGTTTGTGCTTATCAGTGAGGAGATATGTTTGGAAGGCACTTCTTGGTTTGGGTGGGCTGTAACGTAAACCTGAGGCCAGCTAGGCTTCTAATTCAAGCAATTCAGTTGAGCGTGGGTGAGACATGCGACTGTACGTATGCAATATGCTCTTGACTCCACGTGGAGAGGGAAAGATTTGCTGTACAGAAGAAATGAGCTTACACAAAAGAGGTAACCCATAACTCTTTCTCTAATCTGACCAGTTATCGGAGTAACCAGCTTCGAGTTGTCCTTTTCTTGAAAACTTTGTCACTACTTCTTTTTTCCCTTTCTCCTTTTCCCTGTGTAGTCTACTGCCGCATTTCAGGTAGGGTTCATCCCCGTATGGTGTTGTGCCTGAGCTCTGTGTCCCTGCTTTAGGTTGTGTGACAACATGAGTGAGGGTTGATGCATGCCAATCGCGCTGGCGTTGAGTGCAGTTTATGGTCTGGTCTGTGCAAAGAGGGAGGGCAAAAAGGTGTGCTGGTTGTTGGTTAGTCTCAGGTGGGAAAGAAGACAGGGAGAAACATGGCTTGAGTGAAGGAGGACAGGGATTTTGTTGCAATTTCTGCCTCTGCTACCTTTTGTTCACTTTAATCTATCAAGTTCCTCAACCTTGATCCACCATGACAGGCTAATGAGACTTTAGTGGCCTTTCAGAAATGTCACATCCAGTTGTATCCCATCTTTCAAAGAGTAGAAAATGAAGTGGTGACTTCAACTCTTTTCTTTTGGCCCACATCTGTGATGCCAAAACCTCAATCGCACGCAGTGAGGGGCAAGAGGAAGAGAGGGTGATGTACTTTGGCTGTAGATGTGCCCGGTGGAAACCAGCTTGATCCTGACAGGGTTTATTGGCTGAGCCACTGTGGTCCCAAAGAACAGATGGGGATATCGCATGCAGTGAGGGGCAGGAGGAAGAGAGGGTGATGTACTTTGGCTGTAGATGTGCCCGGTGGAAACCAGCTTGATCCTGACAGGGTTTATTGGCTGAGCCACTGTGGTCCCAAAGAGCAGATGGGGATATGGCAGAGCCCATTTGCCTCTCCTGAAGGATGAGCTAAGAAATCCCACTGACTTAACCAAGTATGTGTAGAAACTAGTGGCATTGACCAGCAGAACCAGCAGGCTGGACAGCGTGGAGAACTAGATCAGCAGTTCTGGGCAGAGTTGGTTGGGGTCAACTCCAGTCAGTACTGACCCAGAGTTAGTAACCCAGGGTGGATCTTCTCTGATATCTACGCCAGTGTGTTTGGCAGCAGCCTAAGGTTTTTTTTTTTGTTTTTCCATTACCTGCTATATCCTCATCCTGTGTTATCCTAGCGCCAAATTCCTTTCAAATATATCATGTGCTGAATGGTGTGGAAGATAGCATTCATCTGGCCAAATGTAGTCATCTACGCCCTAGGTAGTCAGCCCTGGCTCCCGTTAGGGTCAGCCAGGGGAGGGCTGGATGTTCCTGGGCTGTGATTCATCTCGGCCCAGTATGCTAAAGCAGATGAGGTCTGACCTGAAAGCTGCTTTCCGCTGACTATAAAAGGAGGCATTGGGGGATTAGCTCGGATATAAAAGTCTGCACTATAAATGTCTATGTGTTTGTCTCAATGAACTTGTGAGGTTCTCAGATCCCTCAGTGACTTTGTGAAGAATTGTGTCTGTTTGCACTATGGGTGAGTTTCTTCTGGTATTTGAATGCTCCCTCCTTAGTGCTGTTGTCACAGCATCACTGTCTACTTAAGCATACAAAAAAAGGGAAAGAAAAAGGGATAGCTGAATCTGTTGGTTAAACAAAACATGGGGGCTGCCCCATGTTAGGCCCACCAGTTGCAGCATTCCTGACAACTGCCTGTGGTTCGTGGGGAGTTTGGAGGTGTCAGGGATTAGAAGCTGGGGGTCCCACCTTCCCACTGGGGTTTGTAGGAACCTTGGGACCCCCCTTGCCCTGGCAGCGCTGGCTGGAGCTGCCTTCCCTCAATGGTGGGTGGGCAGCTGCTGCCCTTGCCAGGGTCCCTGACTGTGCTGGAGGCCACCAAGGTGGTGGGTCATAAATCCTGTGAATGATATCTGGTGCAGAAGTCTCTTATTTCAGGGTTGCCAAAATAAAATACTGCTGACTTTTTTCTTCCTTTTTTTTTTTTTTTTTTTTTTTTGTTCCAGGTACATTTTTGAGTTTCTGGGTTTGTTTTTTTACTTAAGTGAAAAACAGTTCAGAAAACTTTATTTCACAGAGGTGCAGTTTTTGTGTGTTCAGGAGTTGTTATAGGAAAAAAAATGTGCTACTAGCTTCTCTGAGCAGGATCCCTCATTCCATTTTCTTGTTAATCTAACCTGTTCCGCAGTGCATACCATGACGTGTCTTGACCCCTTTTCTGAGAAATCCACGCAATTGCTATATTTACTGCAATACTAAATTTATCGCTGTCTACTTAATGGTAGTATTTTCTTACCTCTTTCTCCTGCCTTTTTCTGATATGAGGAATAACTCTCAGATTCTCTTTCATCAGACTTCCAGGCAAATATCTGAGCTGTCTTCTCTGAGCTCCACAGATTTCACAATTCACTCTTGCTTCATTTTCCACATCCTTGTGATTTCCTTGTAGATCTTACTCGCCCATTTAATTTTTAAATTACAAGGACAAGGATTTTACTTAGTATCCTGTTTTTGTGGACTTGCAACTGATTACTGTCCTTATTTACTGAGCGAGCTATGCTTTTCTCGAAACATAGTGGCTCTTTGACAGTCATCCGCTTTTGAAAGTTTATTATAAGCCACTCTGGAGTTTTTTAAAAAAAAAAAAAAATGAACAAAGAGCTTTTTATTTAACTAGGGCTTGTCCCCAGTACTGATTCAGGCAGACTGTTAAAATCCCCTGTACCAGATCACTTATTTATTCCTGGAACCCATTCTGGCAAATGAGAAGGTGTTCTCAAAATAAATAGCTGTGTGCGTTGTCACCCATATTATTCCTGGCTGCGTGTGAGTCTGACTGTCTTGCATTGCCAGGTATTTTAACAGAGGTGAGAAGAACGGAGTTGTAGGGTAGGTGCACATCATCTCTGGCTGCAGTTGTGCCCACTGAGAAGTCTGCTGCTGGCCGCTGCTTGCTGGCATCCCAGCAGCAGGGGCAATTGCTGCTCCAGTTTGCTGGCTGGTATGCTTGAGAGAGCTCTTCTCTGACTTATTTCAGATGCTGACTTGTCTCTGTTAACTCGAGTTAGCAGCTAGGTTATGTCTTCTAAGTTTCAGCTGGCAAAGTAAATAGTATGGCGTGTCTCTAGAAAATATTTGCTAACTCAAATTAGCAGTGTTTGAGTGAAGCAATCCAGGATGTCGCACAGATAGCTCAGTGTGCAGAGCAGAGAGGGTGATGATGTCTGGGAGGTAGAAGGCAGTGGTGGTACCAAGCATCTGGGGACATTTACCTCTGCAGCTGGTGCACTTGGAGCCATAAGAAAACCAGTGTCTACACTGATAACGGTGCTGCTCTGTGTGTCTGCAGTGGACCTCGTCACTTCAGTGTTTTGAGTAAAGCAAAGGTGAGTTTGCTTTGGCTGTGGGGTACCTGGGAGGTGTGATTTAGTGTCACTTTCCATTGCTATAAAAGAAATACCGTGCAAAATCCATGGAAAAACTTTTAATTTTATGAGTAAAGCATGCTGAGGTCAGGGCTTGGGAGAACTTGCTTCCAAAGGATCTGCTTCCCCATACCACGTCTGCAGTGGGGTTGGGAAGTGGTGTAACTGTGGATAGCAGGGGAACAGAGGCCCTCCTGTGAACAGTGGGAGTCAGTAAGCAAAACCATTTCTGCCAAAAAAGAAAAGAGGTGGGGAAGAGAAAGTACAAGCTATAAAGCATAACAAAATCAGACCACTGGTAATGCTAGTAGTAGTTTCATTTGGGAATGCTGAGGTGGGAGGTTTATTCGGATGTGTATGTGGCAAGAGTAAACTGTGCAAGAAATTACTGTGATTTGATAAATGAACTGTTTCCTTAAGCTGTAAAAGGGCTTGCCTTTGTTGCGTGAAAGATTCTTGAATAAACTAGTCGGAAAAACTGCATTGTTGAGTTTGTAGAGCTAGGTTATTTTGTCAAAGTGACTCTCTTATAAAGCGGTTTCAGCTAGCAAGGTAAATAATGTGATGTATCTTTAGAAAAATACTCCAGACAGGGTTAGTTGCCTCAGCTAACCAGAGTATAGTCTTTCATCATTAGGTTTCTGATTGAATTCCACTCAGGATTGCGTACTGCCTGACAGCTCTTTGACCCATGTGAGAGAATTCCCAAGCAAAGGATGCTGCTGCATGTTTCACTATGGGTTTTTTTCTTCCAAAAAGTTCACAAAACAGGGTAACCTGTAACACGTGTTGCAAAGATTTTTTGTTGTCTCACTTTGCAGTGACAGTCTGTGCATCAAACTGGTTTGTGTGCTTACAGCTTCTGAAAGCTGAGAGCAGGCCATTGAGAAAAATACAGCAAAATCAACCCCTCCTCTTTTTTGCATTACCAAAAGCAGCAACAGAAGTTTCTTGCAAGTTATTTGCAGTAGAAATCATGTAGCTACTAAAAGATACTGACACTGAATGTATAATATAATTGTCACTGCAGGGGAAAAAAAAAAAAGTCATGTAATTGGGGACCTAATGACTTGTGCATGGCTGCTTTAGCAACCCACTGAACAAAGGCACATGGATGCTGTATAGAAAGGAAGTGATCAAAACGGGTGTTTAAAAGTCTCTTCCAATCCCTACCTGAACTTGGCTGATACAACTTTGAAGTGCAAAGGTGCCGTACCATTGTGTATTTGCCCACGCTGACCAGAGGTGTGTTAGGCAAAGCCTTTCTGGCTGTGCAGTCTGCTGGAAGAAAAGAGCAAAATGTTCTGGCTGAGTGAGAAAAAAGGGCAACGCCCAAGAGTCAGCAGCTGAATGATGGATTAGGGTGGAGGTGCCACATCTTGGAAGAGAAAAACAGTAGGTGCTTGCCGGGATTTTGGAAATGAGAACTTCTGTGAGATTAGAGTGGGAATTCGGCATCTAGCATCTTTTCAGTTCAGGAAAGGTACCAACACAAGCAGTAGACTGAGAAGCATAACAGTTAAGCAAGTGGAGAAGAGCAGAAGCAAAATCCTTATGCTTTGCTCTGGAGGTGCTAGGATCAGTGCTTGGGCAGTCCTGAAATCCAAAACTTTGTCCAGAAAATGCTTATTTTTGAGGAAAGCAAGTGTAAGGGGGAGTTATTGTTCTTGGGAGGGAAGTGGACTTCTGAGTTGCTAAAGCCCTGAAGACCATTCAGAGATTTTCACATCTTTGTTACCTCTCTGCAGAGAGACAGGTCAAAATTCATTGAGGTGTTTTTGTTTCTGCTGGCTTTAGGTTCAGTCCGTTTTCTGTCTTGAGGAGCGGCCTGGTGGAGTTTTCATAGATGTCGGCTAGAGCCCTGCAGTAGCTGGGGAAGGCAGGCATCTCTGGAGTGTTGTTCCTACCATTTCTCCTCTGATGGGATAAATCTATACCAGGGGATTCCTGTCTTTGCCTGGTGGGTACAGAGGAGTATGAGATGATACCCTAAGCCCAAATGTCTGCTTGTGAGTTGGCTAAAGCTAGTCAAGAGGAATTCTACCCCTCGTAACCTGGTTGGCATGTGAAGAAATACAAGCACATCCCCCAAGGAAATCTGTATAAGTGATGAAGCCACACTGTTATGCTTTGGCTGCTCCAGATAAGCCATTACAGATGTTAGAGTACTTTTGAACCTGCTTTTTCCTTCAAAGGAAATACCTGGAGAGCAGAACAGCATGGTGCAGGACACCATCAAAAGCACAACAGCAGCTCTTTGCTTTTCATGCTGCTGTTCAGACCCTTGGGGGAAAATGCTAATTATCATTTGTTGCAGTTATTTTGCTTTACAACCACTAATATTTTTTTCCCAAGTCCCAGTACAGTGGAGCTAAGCAGAATATTTACAGCCAGTAGTTTGTTTCCTTCCTGCTGTCACTTAAAGAGCCTAGCAGCAGCAGAGCTTATTATACTTCAAAGTTTCTTGTTCTAGGTAAGTGACATGGGGAGAGATGACACTGTACGTGCTCAGAGAAGTATGTTGAAATGTATAATGCAACACCATCTCAGAGACTGTCATATTTAGGTCTCTCTGCATAGCCCCCCAGCCCTGTAAATATATTTTAAGAGTGATTTCCTTTGGTGCCAGAATGATACGGAAAAATATAAGGTTTTTAAAAGGTAGTAGCAGACTGGATTATATTAGTAATTTTTCTCCCAGTAAGAAGCACATACCTGCTTACTCCAAACACTGCTTTTGCTGATAGGAACACAATTATTTTTAAGGATAGACGTATAACTTCCCTTGGCAGGATTGTGTGCTGGGTGGCTTCACTTATCCTCTGTCACTGGGTTCCAGGTGCAGGTTTTGGGGCAGACCAGGCTTCTGCATGAGGGGTGGCAATTCCAATAAAACCAGAAATCTGAGTAAGATCTTAGCCTACAAATTCGACAACTATGAGGCTGATGGGGGGGGGAGTAACAAGTATACGGCAAATCTTTTTTTATTGCTCGTGGGTGTTAATCTCTTCTGTAAGTTGACTCGTGCTTCCGAGGGAGCCAGAACAAGCTCCCTTCATGGAGACGTGTGGGTTGTGAGAGCTGGCTTTCTGCTGCACAGGCGGCAAAATAAACTGTAAGGCTGGCTACAAGGTAATGCCTCTCCTCTTGCAAAATCAGGGGCTGAGTCTGCACTGTATTTTGCAGTGGCCTCGTGGCTGGGCTCTGGCCAAATCTACCAGCCTTTTCCATTTCTTACTTTTTGGTACCTCTTTATTGTCCCCACTGTTACCTCTCCCCCAGCTTCACATGAGGGCTGTGCCTTTCTCTGTGTGCCTTAGAGATGGTTTGGAGCTTTCTGCCCAAATCTCTCTTTGGGCCGGCCAGTGTGGAGCCCCTGTATTTGAGGGGGTGCAGGGTCCCTCTGTGTGGCATCGTCAGCAATAGGACCTGAAACATGTGGCTTGTGGTCTGGCTCCCAGTTTGTCTCCTGGGTGCCATCTTTGCTTTTTGGGGAAAAAACCCTTCCAAGTCTTGATTCAGTCCCAAGCAGGTGTAGGAAGCCCTTTGTTGTACCTTGAGAAAGGGTCCGAGATAAATATGAAGCAGGCTGTGCTTGGTCATCTCTTTTCCCCAGCCCTTCCCCATCAGCAGCGATGCAGCCTTGTACGTTTGGGTTACATGGAGGCAAAGCTCCCCTTAGACAAGACCTCTCCCATCGGGGGGCAGGGGAGAGCGGAGTGGTGAGCCTGGGGCTGAAAAAAGAATGTTTACCCAAAACAGACAAACTCCACACCTACCTGGCTGTGAAATGTAATTCCTTGTCAGTGTTGAAACTCCATTTTGATAAGATTTATTTAGCTAGAATATATCAAAACTGGGTGGTGATATCTCTTTGTGTAAAAACAGGAGCAGTTGGTTATCCCATTGTCAGACTGGTCAAACATCACACTTGTATCATTTACCACGCTCTATACTTATTTTAGGCTTAAATGCCTAAAATAGATGCAGTTTTCAGAGGCATTTTGTTGTAAATCCATCAGTGCTTAGGAGCTGCAAGGTCTGTACACTGACAGCTTGTGGAATTATTTGCAAAACGCTTCTGAGACTGAACTTTTTTTTCCCCCACAGTCACAGATATTATCCCATTTCACATACGCTTTTTTTAATTAATTGAGTGCTCATGTCCTGTTGAATAGGGGATTTTACCGGCTCAGGTGGTGTATGGGACTGAAGGGCTGCAGAGCTGGACAGGATTGGGTCAATCACTGAAATGAAAGTGGGAGACTTGTGCAGCATGAAGTTTTAACAGCAACCAGACAAGTGCGTGGGCGAAGCTGCCATGGAAACTGCTTGTAGTGTTTCCAAAAAAGACCAAACTCTGCATTGCTGCTATTCCTAAATTGTGGTCTGTTTTTAGCCACCCTCTCCGCTTGGGATGGCCAGGGATATTGTGGAGGGCAGCTGCCTGGGAAGGGGAGGAAGATGATGCACTTGAGCAGCTTGTTGCCAGCCTGAAGGCAGGACTGCTAGCGGCGCTGGCCGGGCTGGGAGAACCAGGGTGGGCAGCTGTGGCCTGGATGGTTTGCTTCAGGTGAGAAGCTTGTGCCCACCACCCTGCCATGGTGAAGGATGGCCGAAGAAGTGCTTCCTTGGTGGCCGGGAGGTGAGTGTGGTGTCCATCATCTCTGGGTGTGCTGGCTGCACTCCCAGAGAGGGGTTACCCCTGCCTCAAATGTGGGGTGGCAGGTGGCTTTTATCACCTCTCCTCTCTTTCTCCTTCACATAGCCCCATGCTTTACTTCCTCTGCTCCAGCTTTTTACACCGTCCTTGGCTCCCATTTTTCTGTGGGTGTCTGTCTAGACTACACTGACGTGGACACATCCTGTGGTCCTGGCAACCAGGCTGCACGGTTCCCATCCCAAAACAACGGTCCCTGGTGAGGCATGTGTCGTGGACCGGAGAGGGGTGGGTCATTAAC